AGACGACGCTGAGACACTCCGGTCTACCCAGGGCTACTGCTTCAGCCTTGGCTCAGGTGCCGTCTCGTGGAGAGCTACTCGCTCCTCGTCTGTTGCACAGTCCAGCTGTGAGGCTGAGATCTACGCCGGTGCCATGGCGGCACAGGAGCTCCGCTGGCTGACCTTCTTGCTCACTGACTTAGGTGAGCGACCTAGCTCTGCCCCGGTCCTGTTCGCTGACAACAGGGCCATGATCCTCCTGTGTCAGGAGCCTCGACTCGAGGGCAGAGCGAAGCACATTCAGCTGCGGTACTTCCTCCTGCGTGAGCTACAGCAGCGGCGTCAGGCTCGCGTAGTACACTTGGCCTCAGGTGCCAACACGGCTGATATCTTCACGAAGGCGCTTGCGCCTAAAGATCATCAGCGGCACTGTGTACAGCTTGGTCTAGTTCCTGTAGCCTCTCACTTGCTAGGACCTTGACTTTGTACTGTCCTTTATATGTATACTCAGACTGGACTTGTGTCCTCTCCCAGTGGCTGGACTAGTAGTGCCGCCCTGCTCTTGTGCTTGCCTTGTCTGTACTCCTTCTGACCGGTCGCTCAGACTCTTGTCTCAGAGGTTGGACTAGTAGTGCCGCCCTGAGCTGCTTGTTTAGGGTATTCCCCTATGCAGTCTAGGGGGTGTGTCAAACATGTGTATTTGTCATGTTTGTATAGACTGTATAGCAGGCCTCAAAATAGCCGGGTGAAATGCCCTGATTGCCCTGATTTTTCCGGGTATTTTTCATGTTACTCTTAAAAATCCGACTTGTAATTTTTTTAAGGCTGATTCAAAAAGTGTTCGCCTTTTTTTACCCTGCTAGAACCAGGGTTAGGCGCCTCCCAGCCCTGAGGCGTCAGGGTAGAATGAAAATTACCCTGATACAGAAACTCCAAAGAGGCAAGATACGTGCCAGATTTTGTGCGAGTGATGCCCGCCACGCCACCGCCACGCCCCTCGTCAGTCCGAAGTTTGTTGCCCACCATCATCACATGCGCATGGGCACGTGTTGATGGTACCACCTCGTTGGCTTTGCGCCGCCTTACGATTGGTTAGAGTGGCAGCATTGTTTCCTCGCTGGGTGACAAGTTCGCGCGCCGACAGTGAATGCTGATGCATGCAGCAACTTCACAGGTTTTTTCCTGTGAGCTGAGCGGTCCCAAACGAGGCTCTTGACTGCACACCTTTTGTGTCTCGCAAAACGCCCTTCTTCTCCATACGTTTCTTCCAGAAACCATGCCCCCTGACTTGCAACGAGCATTCCCTCACCCAGTAGAGTTTCGAGTAGCTGGATCGTCCTTCAGCCATGGCGCTCGATGCTGCCGATCCTCCTGACCCTCCCCCACTGAATGGACTCAGCGTTCTTGGGGTTTTCCCCCTCCTCCCGCCGCGTAGAGTTGCGCCTTCCCCGCCGCGCAATCCCTCGCTCGACAAGCGTGCACCCCCTCCGCAACAGTTTCTTTTTGAGCCAACGTCCCCACCTTGCTCTTCTCATGCTGCTGAGGCGATCGACCTCAACCTGTTGCACAGCGAAGGCACTTCTGGCGAGGCACCAGAAGTTGCTGAGTCTGTCGCCACCGCTCCCGCCAAGAGGAAGGACTGCGGACCATGGACTCAGCGTCGGCTTCCTTGGGCGCCACCGCCGAAGAAGCCGGCTGCACCGCCTACTCCTCCGCCTGTTGCTCCTACTCCGCCCCAGAATCCCGCTTCTCATGTCGACGCGGAGTATGAGGTCGTGAATCGTCGCTTCGTGGACGACTGGTCACGACGCTTCCCGTGGCTCCGACTTACTCGTATGAAGAACGGCCGACCTGCCCTCAAATGTGCCCTGTGTCTCCAGTACGGTGATGCTTTCTCCAACACTTCATATGGCAGGAAAGGAGAGGGTGCGCGCGATCTCCAGGTGGGCAGCATCCGAATCCACATTGGGACACGTGCTCACAAGGCGGCTGTCAAGGCGCAGCAAGAACGGGAGAAAGAGACGGATCAGCAGAAGACGCTAGACCGATGGGCGGTGACAGATGCATCGACGAAACATCTCATCCGGTGCTTCCATATCGCCCTTTTTGTCTGTAAGGCCGACGCGCCCATCACGATGTACGTGGCGCTTTGCTACTTCCTCGTGTCCGAGGGCTTACCCGATCTCCCGCAGGGTCGGGCGTATGGGACCTACTACACGGAGTGAGTTTTGATATCCGAATCCCTCTTCTCCCGTCAATGCATTGCATGTCGCCGCAGACATCGAACGTTGCCGTAATTTCCTTGTATGTGTCCACTTGCTCTCCAACTTTCTTACCAGTAGCCTATCCATTCCCATCTCCCCCTACCAGTTATGGCTTCAAGCAAGGGACCAAGGCGATTTCCGAGTACCTGAAGGACGAGCAGCTCCACCACATCCTGAGCTCCCCGTTTGTCGGCATCGCCATCGATGAAAGCACGGACCGCGTGCACGGGAAGCATCTAATTCTGTATGCTACGTTCTTTCGTGGCAACTCGGTAGTCACAGAGTTTGTCACTCTGCTAACTGTCGAGCGGACCGATGCGGCGTCTCTGACGGCGGTTCTTCTACAGTACCTGCAGTACATCGGTCTCGACCTCCAGAAGATCGTCGGGATGGCTACCGATGGAGCATCGGTAATGACCGGTGTGCAACAGGGAGTGGTAACCCGCCTAAAGAGGCGGATTGAGCACCTGATGGCTGTTCACTGCATCGCCCATAGGTGGGGTGTTTTACTCGCTACCCTCATGTTTTCAGTAGAACGCTCCAAATCATTGCATCTGTTCTAGTGTTGTACTCGTTGACCGTATGCTTTTCCTCTGCTTGTCGGACTCATTGCTTTTTTGTGTTTAATCCACTCCTCCCGCCAGAGAGGCACTTGCGGCGAAGGATGCTGCCGCTGCTGTGGCCGAGCTACAGATCATCGACATGCTCATCCGTGCTTTCGCCGAGCTCGTCGGTCGCTCCAACAATCAGCACCTCAGCTTCATAAACTTCCAGCTGGTGTTTTGCAACACCAATCTAGAGATGCAAGGGATCCACGCCGTACGTTGGTTGTCGCGCGGAGAGGCGGTGATCCGCTTCGTCGAAGTGCTGCCGGCGGCCATCGTCTTGCTGCGTGATCACCCCAGCGGTCTTTTCGAGATTGTGACGCCGTTCAAGGTGCAGTTCATGCTGCACTACCTCGCCGACATACTGGAGGAGCTGAATCACCTTAACACCCGCTTCCAGCAGCGCCAGGTATGACACTCCTCTCATCGTTGAATGTCGTCAGTACCATGTGCTTGCATCTAGGCACTCAGTCATACTTTGCACGTTTATTTTGCATGTCGTTCATGGTGCCCTGTTTGCTTTGAAATTATCTCTGTGTTTTCGTTGCAGGTGGATCTCACAATCGTGGCCTCAGTGGTGGACAACACGTGCAACCGCATCACCGACCGCTACATCAAGTGCGGCGGTGGTCTCTTCTTCGGGAACGGCAGCGAGAGGCTTGGGAAATTCCTGGAGCGTCACGGGAGGCCCGACCAGCGCCGCGTGCGCGTTCAAGGCGTTGACTCGGAGGGGAATGCTCAGGCGTTCGAGTATGTGCTGCATGAGCGGATGGTGGAGGGGCACAACACCAAGAGCGACCTAGACTCCTGCGCCCAAGTCTGCCGGAAGCATGCAATCGATGTCGTCACCAACGTCCGTGCCCGCCTGAAGGACCTGGCTAACATGGAAGGATGCAAGCTCTTCAAAGCCAAGACCTACCCACGAGACGACGAGTTGCGCCTAGCGAGATGCAAGCAGTGGCTGAAGCAGTCCCACAACCTCTTCGATGGAAAGCTCCCAGGTGAGACAGATTTGTTCTCGATGATGCTGCCTGTCATCGATGCTTGCGTGTCCGTTCTTAGGCTGCAGTCCCCGCAATCCATTTGCAGCAACATTCGTTGCACATCTCCCCTCAAAGGCTTACTGTTTCCTATCCTTTGAATCCCAACCCCACCATCCTGTAGGCTTCGACTACAACAAGGCCGTCACGGAGCTGTGGGTGTTTACTGCTACCATGGTGTCGCAGTACAAAGATGACGAGTTTCAACAGGGGCTCACCTTGACTCTGGACAACAATGAGTGGCAGCGGAGCTACCCCAACATCCTCAAGCTGTGGCAGGCACTGGCGGTGCTCCCTCTCAGCACAGTGGAGTGCGAACGTGGTTTCTCGAAGCAAAATCTGATCAAGTCATGGAGTCGTGGGTGCCTTGGCGATGACAGCCTGGGCGACTTGATGCGGTGCTCGCTCCTGTGCTACCAGATTGACTGGTTTGATGTGGTAGCTGTTTTCCGAGGTGAGAAGCGGCGGCGGCCTCTGCGCGACTTGTGTTCTGCCAACCCAACTCCAGCTGCGGCTTCTGCAGATGCAGGCACCATAAGGACTGACCCTGACCCTGACCCAGTTCCACTAGAGGATCCTAGTGTGCTGTAGGTCGTGTGGTTGTGATTTTCCTTGCCTACGTTCCTAGTTCATGCTAATTATTTCCATATGTTAATTATTGACATGCAGTGTAGCTAGGAATATAGTGCATTTCATAACGTGAAACTGGGTTCTGCTTTTTTTACCCTGAGCACCCAGAGTGCCGAATGTTCTACCCTGCTGAATCAGACTTGAGAAAAATTGTACTCTGACCGGCAGGGTAATTTTTTTTTGGCACTCTGATTCCTAAGAGTGGCCTAAAACCAATTTTGAGGCCTGCTGTATAGAGTCACCTCTTAGAGGATACAAAACTTAGATATATTTGTGTGTACTCTCACTTTACAATTATTCAATTATTCTGATAGCTTGTTCATTCATAACAGGCAGTCCCATTCATAACATTGCCGCACTTGTATTGTTTCCTTGTTACTCAATCTTTTCGACACACGCTCTTCGCGCTTCATTACACTTAATTTTGACACACCAAAATACATGTGTATTCCTTAAAAAAAAAAAAAAAAAAAAAACTACACATAGATTACATGCCTTTATTATCCAATGTATTGGTGTATCTCTTTATCCGAAGTGGTCTTCGATGCCAAAGCCGCTAGCAAGGTAGCATGCAATCTAAGCTTATGACATCAGTATGCTATAGAGGATATCTGACCATGTATCTGGCAGTCCGGGGTTGCACCAGTGGGAGCAGTCTGTACCAGAGCCACCAGTGTAGTTCTGCAAGTGAGCATCTGGCCGCTTCAGGCTGAGTCGAGTCACGTCCATGATTCTAAACGTGGCCCTCTCCTTTGCCTTCACTGGTGGCTGTGACACTTGTTGGAACACGCTCAGCTGAGTGGCCAGTGCATCCAGCGCCTCTGTGCCCTTCTCAGCAACAGCTACCTCCGCGTCTGTGAACGGCCTCTGTGCTCCTTTGCAGCTCTTCTTTGGGTCGCCCCCATATGCTTCCTCGTAGTGGTACGGCGAGTACGAGAGCATGATGGGCACGCCACGGTAGCCAGACTCGAGAATAAAGTCGCGCACGGTGGAGAGAGCGACGGTCATGGCTTGGAACGGGGTGATGTCACTCTGAAACACTCCCTTGATGTAGAACTGACGCAGCTTGGGAGGGGCCTGTTGTGGGGCATGCACAGAAAGGGAAGGGTCAGCAAAGGGCTGCACTAGGGCGAGCATGAAGCGAGCAGCGAGGAGTCGAGGACCGGCATGCGAGACGCACATTGACAAACCAGTGGCCCGTGGTGAAGACGAAGACGTCCAGGAAGCGAAGCACGGACGCCCAGACCTCCTTGGGCTTGTCCAGGTGAATCTTCCACGTGCCACTGCTCTTTGCCGCACCCTGCAGGCCGTGCACGCAAGGCCACGTGGGAGAAAGCACCCAGGTCAGACGAGTGCGGCAGCAAGATAAGTCCAAGGCGAAATGCGAGTGCTAGTGTGAGTAGCAGGCGTGGGGCGCATGCGCGGGGCTGACCATGGGCGTGGCGTCAACGAGGAAGACAGCGGAGAGCGAGAGGAAGGTGATGTTGTACGCCGGCACCTTGTAGCCGCGCACGTCCTGCCCATACCATGTGGACGAGAAGTCCTGCGCACACAGGGAGGGTGCGGCGCCATGCACATGGAGGTTGAGTGAGTGACGGTGCGTGTGCGGACACGTGCGGACATGTGCACACATGTGCGAGGCGAGGGAGAGGGGGAAGAAGAGACAAGGGGTGCGTGTGTGTGAGAGCGTGCGTGCGGGTGAGAAGGGGGGGAGAGAGGGAGAGAAGACAGGGGTTACTGTGGCAGACTGATGTCACTGCAAGGTACCTTGGTGGCGGTGAAGGAGGCGATGATGCAGCGGATGGAGCTGCCGAAGTTGGAGGAGAAGGAGTCGCCTGAAATGCCCAGCACCTTGTTGCTGAAGCGGCTCACAAACGCAGCGGGGTTGAACCTGCACCGGCACCGGCGCACACAGGGAAGTGAGTTTCAGTGAAAGTGGGTAACTTTTGGCAGGAATGGACTTGCTCACCCTTGTTTGAAAGCCAAAAGAGAGATTGAAGGATGCAAAAGCAAACGCAAAGGCAATTCGTGTAGGAATGGACGTAGCAAGAGCGGCGAGCGGGAAGGGGTAGGAAATGGCAGGGGAGCAGCCTGGAGAAACAGGCGCACGGCCCACCTGGTGAGGTCGCAGTCGTCCGGCTGCCACTGCCAGTTGAGGTAAGCGGAGTCGGGGCGTTTGTTCTTCTGGCAGTTCTCGTATGCCCGCAGCGTCGTGCACGTGAAGCCCGTGTACGGAGGGGGGGCGCTGGACGGCACCCATCTGCACAGGTGAGAGGCCATGTGGCACAGGCACATGAGGTGAGTCGCATCGCGTGCTCAGGTGAGTCCGTCACGAGGGTGCTGTGCTGTGCTGTGGAGTGAAGGAGAGTGGCGGTACGGCTGTCATGCATCAACGCACTGCTTCACCGTAGCCAGTGTAATCGTCACATAGCTTGCTACATGCACCATGCATTGCTCTCCCATGTATGCACCATGCCTTGCTCCCACGCATGTGCCGAGGGGCTGATGGCAGCATGAGGCAGCAGCGTGCCGGCGGTACGCACCTGCCTTTGCCCACATCGCAGCCTGCCACGGATGCAGACGCCGCTTCCGCCGTGTCCGTGCGGCCGCCACTGCTCGTCCCGCCGCCTGCCGTCCCACCTGCTGCCGCCGTGCTGTTGCCGCCCTTAGTCGCCCCGCTGCTTGTGCTGCTGCTGTTCTTGCTGGTGCTAGGGCTTCCCTTTACCGTGCTGCTGCTCGTACTGTTAGTAATGCCTTTGCCCGTACCGCTGCTCGAACTGTTAGTTGCCCTGCCAGTACTGCTGGTTGTACTGCTACTGGCCGTTACCGTACCGCTGCTCGTACTGTTACTTGCCTTGGCCGTACTGCTGTTCGTACTGTTACTGGCCTTGCCCGTACTGCTGCTAGTACTGTTAGTTGCCTTGCCCGTACTGCTGCTCGTACTGTTACTTGCCTTGCCCGTACTGCTGGTTGTACCGCTACTGGCCGTTACCGCACCGCTGCTCGTACTGTTACTTGCCTTGGCCGTACTGCTGTTCGTACTGTTACTGGCCTTGCCCGTACTGCTGCTAGAACTGTTAGTTGCCTTGCCCGTACTGCTGCTCGTACTGTTAGTTGCCTTGCCCGTACTGCTGGTTGTACTGCTATTGGCCGTTACCGTACCGCTGCTCGTACTGTTAGTTGCCTTGCCCGTACTGCTGCTCGTACTGTTAGTTGCCTTGCCCGTACTGCTGGTTGTACTGCTATTGGCCGTTACCGTACCGCTGTTCGTACTGTTACTGGCCTTGCCCGTACTGCTGCTAGTACTGTTAGTTGCCTTGCCCGTACTGCTGCTCGTACTGTTTGTTGCCTTGCCCGTACTGCTGGTTGTACTGCTACTGGCCGTTACCGCACCGCTGCTCGTACTGTTACTTGCCTTGGCCGTACTGCTGTTCGTACTGTTACTGGCCTTGCCCGTACTGCTGCTAGTACTGTTAGTTGCCTTGCCCGTACTGCTGCTCGTACTGTTAGTTGCCTTGCCCGTACTGCTGGTTGTACTGCTACTGGCCGTTACCGTACCGCTGCTCGTACTGTTACTTGCCTTGGCCGTACTGCTGTTCGTACTGTTACTGGCCTTGCCAGTACTGCTGCTAGTACTGTTAGTTGCCTTGCCCGTACTGCTGATCGTACTGTTACTTGCCTTGCCCGTATTGCTGCTCGTACTGTTGCTGCCTTTGCCCGTACTGTTGGTCGTACTGCTACTGGCCTTTGCCGTACTGCTGTTCGTAGCGCTGCTGGCCTTGTCCGTACTGTTGGTTGTACTGCTACTGGCCTTTACCGTACCGCTGCTTGTAGTGTTACTTGCCTTGCCCGTACTGCTGCTCGTAGTGTTACTGCCTTTGCCCGTACTATTGATCGTACTGCTACTGGCCTTCACCGTACCGCTGCTCGTACTGTTACTTCCCTTGCCCGTACCGCTGCTCGTACTGCTACTGGCCTTTACCGTACCGCTACTCGTAGTGCTACTGGCCTTTACCGTACCGCTGGTCGTACTGGTACTGGCCGTGCCCGTGCTGCTGGTACTGTCAGTCGCCTTGTTCGTGCCAGTGCTGCCTGTGCCTGTCACAGCGCCCGTGCTGCCGCTTCCCTTGCCAGGCGCACTGCTCTCTCCCGCGTCGCTGCCCGACCCACTGCTCTCCGTCCCGCCGCCGCTGTTACTAACACTGCCACTCGTGCTTCCCATGCTGCTACTGCCCGTTCCTATGCTGCTGCCTTTTTTGCTGCTTGCCTTTATACTTGCGAGGCTTGTACTTTTTGTGCCGCGCGCGCTGCTCGTCGTTACATCCCCACTGCTGTTGCTGCCCGGCGCGCCGAGCGGGCTCGCAGCTGTCGCTGCATATGCTCCAGCGCTCCGCATGGCACCCGGTGCCACACCAGCCGACGCGCTGTCGCCGTCCAGCAGGCATGGGTCCCGCTGCTTCATGGGGACTCCGATGACCGACGCGCATGAAGTCGCAAGTGCCAGCGCGACCATGAGCCCTACTGCAGAACGGGTCGTTGTCATCGTCTATGTTGCGATGGGCCAGAAAGAATCGAAGATCTGAAGGATGGAAGTCCGCGTGCCTGAAGTTATGTGACGGTGGTGGACAATAACTGGGTGTAGGGGAAGAGATGGAGCAGTGTGGGGTGAATTCGTGTCAAGCCAAGGTGCTGCTGAGCTGACAGTGGCCTCCCCAACCCCAACATTTGCTGGCTTGTCTGCTGTTTTGGGTGGCGGCGCCTGACTCCATCCCAGTTTCGAATTTCGCGCCTTGTTTTGATAACCGCGCGACGGCCCGAGCTGACAGTGTGGCAGGGGGTCGTGGGTTTGAAACATCCTCGTCGTGAACTGTCGCGCCTGGTTGTGCTTCATCGTGTAACAACACGACGTTTTCAAGCGACTGCGCAAAACAATTCATCTACGCGAAATGTGTGTGAAGTGGGTTGTGCGAGTAACGCAACATACTATGTTTCCCTCTATTTGTTCGCCCGTTCTAATATCGTGAACGCTCGACGATGCTAGTGAGTATTCGCTCAACGATCCGCACTGTACAGCATTGTGTTCTTGTGAGTGCATTGTTCAACCTGCTCGTGAATGTTGTCAGAACTCAGCCACTAACCACTGAGTTAAAAGTGTCGAGTGACCCGCTAGGTTACCCTTAAAAAGATCCTCGGAGAAGGGCCGCAGGTGCAGAGCCTGGGGGGCTATGGGCGCACTTACCCGCTATTTAACAAGCCCTTTTAACCCAGTGGTTAGTGACTGGGTTTCTGACATGGTATCAGAGCAGGCCGTTTCCGGTCCTGCCTTCCACGCTTCCGCCTCGTCCTTGTCTTACGTTTCACTTCGTACCGTGCCGCTGATGGCGGCCTTTCGTTTTCCTGCCGCCGTGGCGGCCTTGCCTTTCCGTGCCGCCGTGGCGACTTCTCTGAGATGCCGCGGCAGCTTAGTCGAGCTACAGTCGCACCTCCGCCTCGCCGCCGCGGCATCGACGTCGCGCTGTGGCGGCGTCTTTTGGCTGCCGTGGCGGCGTCATCGGGCGACAGCCGGCCGCGCATCGTCAATGGTGCCGCCGGACCTGCCGCCCGCTCTGCAGCCGCCGGCGTGATGCTGGACTACGCCCCGCGCCCCTCTCCCCCCCCCCCCCCCCCCCGCCCCCCTTCCCCCCTCCTTCCCCTGCTTCCCCCCCCTTCCTTGCTGCAGCCAACGACTGCCTCACGCGGGCCCTCCCCACTGCCGAGGTGACTGGACATGCCGCCGAGAGGGCGGGGGCCGCTGCACCAGCCGCTGACGTCCAAGCCGCCGCTGCCGTTGCTGTTGCCGCGGGCCGGGCGCCGCCGCACGCCGCTACCGGCGCCGCTGTCGTCAATGTCGCTGCTGCCGCCATAGCCATCCCATGGGCAGTGGGAGCTGCCCGCTTCTGGAGTCGTTGTGTCTCCTGCTGGGAATGGGGGTGCTGGGCTAGGGGGTGTGGGTGTGGGGGTGTGAGTGGGCTTGACACTACCAAGCCTAGGGGGTGTGTTCAAATTATATAAGTTATAATTTAATATAGGCTTGGTAGGTTGTTACTGAACCTTTCTATAGGGGGTACAAACCCCTCCTTGTACTCCCCTCTCTTCCTAATCCAACCCTCTTCTCTCTCGACACTCTCGTCCAGCTCCTAGCTAAACCCCGCCGCCACATTCATGGCGGCCTTGTTCCTGCCTAGTATCCTAGCCTAGAGCTACTTTAACAAAAAGGGCTTGTTAATAGCAGGTCGGTGCGCCCATAGCCCCTCAGGCGCTGCACCTCTGGCCCTTCCCCGAGGATCTTCTCAAGGGTAACCCCAGCGGGTCACTCGGCACCCCCCCTCGCTGGGATAGGTAAAAGACACGAGCACCTCTACAACGCTAGCACTGGGAATTGAACCCGAGTCACCATCACTCTGATAGCATGTCACAAATCAGCCACTAACCACTAAGTCAAAAGGGCTTATTAATAACGGCTCAGTGCGCCCATAGCCCCCCAAGCTCTAGACATGTGTGTCACAAAGCTAGGTTAACTTAGCTAGGAAGGAAGGCGGCCATGAAATGGCGAGAGGTTTAGGAGCTAGGGGTGAAAGTTACGAGAGAAAAGAGAGGGAACTAGAAGAGAGAGAGGCATACAAGGAGGGAGTTGTACACTCTACAGTAGAGTTCGATAACCTACCAAGCCTACCAATTATATAACACAATATATAATTTAACACACCCCCTAGGCTTGGTAGTGGCAAGCCCACCACACACACAGCACTCTAAGCCACACACCCCCTAGCACCCCCATACATACTTAGCAGCAGCGACAGCTACTTCAGCACGGTCAACCCCACGGCGCGTGAGGTGGGGCGACGTCGACAACGAGGGCAGCGGCTGCAACGGCGGTGACGGCGGCAGCGTCGACAGCGGCAGCGTGCGGCGGCGTGGCCAGCTGCACCTGCTGCGGCCGCGGCGGCTTCGACGACAACTGCCGGCGGCGGCGGAGCTCGCAGCACTCGGCGACGTGGCTGGGCTCCGCGACGGTGGGACGGCCAGCGCGAGTCAGCCGTCGGCTCCGGCAAGGAAGAGGGGACGCAGGGGAAGGGGGGCGAGCAGGGCCTCAGATATTAGGATGTTTTATCATGAATTCCTGATTTTCATGATGCCTGTTAGGTGCCAAACCTGAAAAATCCGTTCAAGGTCATTTTTCACCCTGTGAATTCAGTTTTAAATCGTAGTGCAACTCTGAGGATTCAGTAAAGTGTTCGTGTACCAGCCCAGAGCTGTCAGTATGCCTTCGGGAACAACCCTGATTCCTCGAATCTTGAATGCACGTGCGCCACTAGGGTAGCCCTTGCCTCGAATTTTACATTTCGGCTAAGACCTCAAACATAGCAACAACCCTCCGAAAACTCCCGAAAATTGGCTAAGTCCTGAAAGTTAGAGACAATCCTCGGAACCCCCCCCCGTTGCTCTAAAATTTCGGCGAAGTCCTGAATGCTAGAGACAATCCTCCAAAAATTCCCCGCTAATCTGAAATTTTCGCAAGTCCTCAATGCTAGAGACAATCCTCCCCCCGCCCCACCCACTACTCACTAAAAATTTTCGGCTAAGTTCTCCTTGCCATAGACATACTTCTACAACTTCTATGCAGCCCTGAAATTCTTGCTTAGTCCTCATAGAATTCGTGATGCCCAGGTTACATCGAATCAAAATCTCGTCAAATACTGCAACTCAGGGATTATTCGTCTCGTTTGGCAGAATACTTCGTGGCTAACTTTTATAAGTTTTTTCCACGGTCAAGATTACCAGAAACAAATTCAGATGATCCTGCACATTGAATTCGGAAACAGAAGAACTTGCCATAGAGTGTGCCACAGGCGAGGAATGCGCTCTCACCATCCAGCCTCGTCAAACGCCGTCATAACCGCTCGATGGAAATCGAACTGCAGTTTTTTTTCACGCAACTTTTCGTTTCTTGCCTTTGACTTTATCAGAGTTTTCAGGGGCTGCATTCGCTTTAAACTGAACGCCCATCCGGTCTCAGCAAAATTCTGTCTAACAGTCAGACGAAGAAAAAATTCCTGGTTTGATTACCTCGTGCGCTACAGTTGACGCAAACTCGGCCACTCACGCCTCAATCCATCACAACGCGTGAAGCCAAGTGCGTTGTTGCTGCTGTTTAGAGTGACTTCTGAGATGTCAAGCATTTCATAATTTATCCTGAGGCCAAAGTATAGAGCTGGAGAACCACCCTGAGGAATCAGTATGAACATAAGCCACCAACCCTGACTGCTACACGTTTTTTTAGGGGCCCGCCCTGATTGGTCAGTATGCCTAAAATCCTATCTGAGGCCCTGGGGGCGAGGCTTCAGCAGCGGAGCCCGGGAGCGTGCCGCCCCGTGTGGCGCGCTGGCTGCAAGCGGGCATGCTGGCCTGCGCTAAGAAGAGGCGCTGGCCGCTGTTGTCCGTGCCGTCCGCGCGCTGTCGCGTAGACGCCGCGGCAGCACGACGGCGCCGTCACGCCGCCACAGCTTGACGCCGACGCTGACGCCGCTACGGCTTGACGTCGACGCCAAGACAGTGCGACGCCACGGCAGCACGTCGCGACGGCCGCAGCAGCACGACGCGGCCGCCATGGCAGCGAGAGAGAGAGAGAGAGAGAGAGAGAGAGAGAGAGAGAGAGAGAGAGAGAGAGAGAGAGAGAGAGAGAGAGAGAGAGAGAGAGAGAGGGAGAGAGAGAGAGAGAGAGAGAGGGAGAGAGAGAGAGAGAGAGAGAGAGAGAAGAGAGAGAGAGAGAGAGAGAGAGAGAGAGAGAGAGAGAGAGAGAGAGAGAGAGAGAGAGAGAGAGTAGAAGAGCGCGGCGGAAGCGTGAGGAGCAGGCCCACAAGGAGCGAACAGCTCTGGTACCATGTCACAGAGCTAGGTTAACTTAGCTAGGAAGGAAGGCGGCCATGAAATGACGAGAGGTTTAGGATCTAGGAGTGAAAGTTACGAGAGAAAAGAGAGGGAACTAGAAGAGAGAGAGGCATACAAGGAGTGAGTTGTACACTCTACAGTAGAGTTCGATAACCTACCAAGCCTACCAATTATATAACACAATATATAATTAAACAATGTGGCCCTTCCCCGAGGATCTTCTCAAGGGCAACCCCTGCGGGTCACTCGACAAATGTGACAATTTGTCACTCCAACACTCCCCCCTATTGAAGTGAACCACGTGTTTAGGGTGGCCAGGATCTAGAGTTGGTGGAACCACGAGCAAAAAGTCAGCGGAGGACTTTACACATTGTATTGGAAATGTCAGAAATGATAAGGATAATAATGATGAGTAATACAGGCATATTTGTAGTCTCAAAATACCTATTCGGAATGTACCTGTTCGAAGTGTATCGCGACTATTCGCCTGAGATGAGTAGTGACTGTTCGTGTGACCGAGAGTGGCATGACCCTTTTGGTAATTGTACGCATGAACAGTAGGTTCACGCGTTGACTCGCTACTGCTGACGTCATCACGGGCATCCTTCCATATGAGGTATCGCGCTACTAGTACAGTCTAAGTATAATACCGGGAATGCATAAATGGTGACTTTGTCGAGTATACTTCAACACTCCCCTTCATTCGTGAGTTTATGTATAATCATGAACACCAATCTTAATTCTGACATCTACAACTTAAACCTCAGATGTAATCCTGATGTACAATTTTTATGGATGATGAAATTCACAAGGAATATGTTCTATTGTGTAGAAGTTAACCATGTGTTTAGTGTGGCCATGAGTTTGTGGTGTTAGGTTGTCGGGAGAATGATGAACTAAGGGAAAATGTCGAGGGTTACAAAGGTAGGACTGTACCCTCTCAGAACTGACCTAACTAAGGCTATAACAAATATAAACAAGCTAGCCTAGATAATTATATTTGTTCACACACCCCCTAGCTGACATAATGGCAGTTCATAACAAAGAAAGGTACACCAGGGAAGCACTACTAGTCTGATCTCTGATGAGTGTAATAAGAAAACTCAAGACAACACTACTTGTCTGAACACTGCGACAAGAGGCCACAAGGCCAGTCAACAAGTGTACAAGACAAGCAGATATAGAACAACAAGTACAAGCAGGTATAGTATGACTCTGGATACAAGAAGTGGTGCTGCTACTGAGGCTAGACCAAGCTGAGAACAAAATCGCTGATGATCACGAGGCGCAAGTGCCTTGGTGAAGATATCAGCGGTGCTGGACTCTAAGGCCAACTGTACTATATGAACCTGACCGCACTGCTGCAACTCACGCAGCAGGAAGTACCGCAGCTGGATGTGCATTGCCCTACCCTCACGTCGAGCCTCCTGACACAAGAGGATCATGGTCTTGTTGTTAGCAAACAGGACCGGGGCAGACCTAGCCTGCTCACCTAAGTCAGTGAGCAAGAACGACATCCAGTGGAGCTCCTGAGTGGCCATGGCCCCAGCGTAGATCTCTGCCTCACAAATTGACTGAGCTACAGACGACGACCTTGTGGACCTCCACGAGACTGCACTAGCACCAAGACTAAAATAGTAGCCCTGAGACGACCTGAGCGTCTCCAGGTCGTCGACCCCCGACGTGTCTGTGTGTCTAGAGAGCACCACTAGATCTCGTCCTCCTAGCACAAGGCCCAGTCCTGATGTGCTCGCCAGATACAGAAGTACTCTCTTGGCAGCCGACCAGTGGACTGGTCAGCGCCTGCCTGTCGCGACAAAGTGAGCCAGGAGACTGAGAGGGTACGCTAGATCTGGTCGAGTGCACGTCAGCAGGTACATGAGGCACACCACCAGCTCTGCGTATGGACCACTAGCCTCGACCGGCTTAGCAAAAATAGGAGCAGAAAGCTTGTGATCCACAAACAGGGGGGTGGGCTGTGCTGAGGAGAACTAGAGACCGAACCTCTGGAGGATCTGCTACACCATTTGGGACTGAGCGAGTGTGATCGTGCGAGCGGCGCGGTCACGAGTGATCTCCGTGCCCAGATAGTGCCTCAACTCCCCCAATTCTGTACATGTGTGTCTCCTAAGCAACTCGGCCTTTACTGAGGCCAGTGCGACTCCGTCAGGAGTAGCAAATATAAGATCTTCTACGTACACTCGGATGTAGAATGGTGTCTGACCCGTGCGAACAAACAGAGACGGGTCAGCAAAGGACGGAAAGAACTGCAGCTCAGCAAGAGTGGTGTAAAGCGTGTCGTGACGGGGTGTGTGATGAAGGCCGTAAACAGGACGGCGCAAGCTCCCCTCGGTCCCAGGTGTGAAGGACCCAGAGAAGCCTAGAGGGCGCCAGAGGTAGATCTGCTCGTGCAGACTACCCTGCAGGAACGCTGTTGAGAAGTCGAGTGAGTGAAGCTCATAGTCACGCTGAGCGGCTATATAATGGCAGAAAGTATTGTCTGGATAATATCCACTTTCATGTTCAAATAATGATTTGAATGCTTTTAACTGAGGTAATACTGAATCTCCAAAGTTGTGTTGTAAGTTACTAGTGCAAGTTTTATAGAGGTAACACTTTTGCAATTTTAAGGGGTCGCACTGATAGCGAGGACACGATTTGAGTCGCGTGAGTGCATCCGGACAGTTTCGGCCAACAGCTGACTATATCTTTTTTCGACAGTCGCATAATCTCCGTAGTTGCTCCTGCAAGTTTTGATTAGTCAGGAAAGAGGCTATACCCGAGGCTTCGACTCGGCCAAGATGAGTCCGTTAGATGAGGCGCGTCATGCACGAATCATAGCCCTGTTGTGGAGGGGGTATAGCACGAGGCAAATCGCGAAGGAGCTTGGCGTGGGGAAGAGTACGGTACATGATCTAGAACTCAAGGCGATTTCAGAGTCTAGCCGCGAGGATGTGTGTCCTTAGGATCGTTAGGGCGATTACTAGCGGTGAGGCGATAACCTCGAATCACGCGGCCCAGATCGTCGAATCCCAGCACAGCGTTACGATGCATCCTAGGAATATGCGTGACGCGCTCAAATCTAGTGGCCTTGTCGCAGTCCAGCAGCCTAAGAAGCCGCGCCTCTCTAAGAAGAACATCCGCGATAGGCTCGATTTCGCACGGGCCCATGCTGATTGGGCCGTCAAGGATTGTAAACGGGTGATCGGGTCGGATGAGACCAAGATCAATAGGTTCTGCTCTGACAATCGCGCGTACGCATGGGTTCGTGAAGGTACGGCCCTCCAATACCACCAGATCAAGTAGACTATGAAACATGGGGGCAGGTGCTTCATGATTTGGGGCTGCATGATGTATGACGGGGTGGGTTTCACATGCAAAATCGATGGTAGGAAGGATGGGCCGTTGTATCTGAACATTTTGCAGGACGAGCTAAAGAATACCATCGACTTTTACGAGCTTTCCCCCTCGGATGTATTCTTCGAGCATGATAAGGACCCCAAGCACAAGTCTCATCTGGTGCAGCAGTGGCTTCAAGATTAGGAGTTTAAGGTGCTGGAGTGGCCATCTTTAAGTCCCGATCTGAACCCCATTTAGCATCTCTGGGCTCATCTCAAGAAGGAGCTGGCTAAGCACGAGAAGCCTCCCACTGGTATGATGGACCTGTGGAAGCGTGTACAAGAGGAATGGGAGAAGATCCCATCAGAGGTGTGCACCAACTTGATCGACAGCATGCCCAGAAGGGTGAAGGTGGTGATTAAGGGGAAAGGGCGGTGGACCAGATACTATTTTTAGGGTTGTTCAAGTTGCTGCCTGCGCCTGGAACTGATTGTCCGGATGTACCGTGATTGCTTATGTCTGCTTTTATCTGTTAACTATAGTTGTTTCATCAAATGTAAAGCATTGCCTTGTGTCCTTAGATTGGCCTGCATACAATGGGTAAGGCCTTCAATTAAGGCTTAATGTACGCATGCCCTTAATCGACCTAAATTCATAAAAGTGCAAAACATGCGGACAATTCTTTCCGCCACTGTAAGAAGAAGGACAAGAAATGTAGTCATCTTCGGGGGCGGGGAGAAGGTCTGGAAGAAGTCCACAATTTCATGCTGACTGAAGCCTCTAGCCATGTAATGTGCCTTGAACTTCAGCGGCTCTCGAGGTGCGCGCTTCACCCTGTAGATCCACATTCCATCGACTACGTTCGCCCCAGGCGGGGGAACTGCATCAACGTAAGTGCCTGTGGATATGTAGGATGCCATCTCAGCCTCCATGGCCTGTATCCACTGGGTTGCCCAGGGTCTTGACACCGCCTCAGCGTAAGAGCGCAGAAAAGGGATGTCGAGGGCGTCTGGGTTGCCCTCTGGGGATACAAGCATGGAGCAGAGATGGGGAACAGCGGCAGCAAGGTAGGCCAACTCGTACTGCCTGTCCTCTAGAATGTCACTGCCAAGGGCAGGTGCACCCCCGACAGACGGAGGACGGGCAGCACCAGAGTGGCAGCGTAGTCAAGGCGGTGGCTAGCAGCAAGGTAATGCGATGAGAGTTGTAAAAGCGGTGGTGTGATGGGTAGTAGAACAGCTAGTCAAAGGCGTCAAGCGGAAAACTCAGGAAGACACAAGGAAGGGTGCGGACTGAGAGCCTTTTCGTGCAAGTGTCGCGCATCTGAGCAGGGCTGCCTCAGACGTGGAACGCAAGCACGTCACTAGGAGACCCGGTCCAGAGGAGGGTCGGCGAAACCTGTGGCCACTGGGAACGCGGCCACAGGTAAAGCTGGTGAGCAGCGTAGCGCACGGCGAACGGCCACAGGAAATGGGGTGCACCGGCGTGGAGCATGGAGGTGCGAGCTACCTCCATGATCAGGCCGATGCGTCGCTCAGTGACCCCATTCTGTTGTGGGGAGTTCGACAGTGTGTACGTCTAGCGGATGCCCTCCGCACGACAAAAATGTCCTTGAGTGCCAGAGGCGAACTCGCCACCACGGTCAGAGTGTAAGCGACCTACAGGCAGGCGGTGGTGGGTGCGAACAGTAAGAAACCACGGGAGAA